TGATGCTTTTAATTCTTTTGGGAAGATACCCAGCAGAGGAATAGCTGGGTAAAATGGTACCTCTAATCCTAGTTTTTTGAGTTATCTTCATATTGATTTCCACAGTGGTTGTACCAGTCTGCACTCCCACTAGCAGTGGAGCAGGGTTCCTTTCTCCCCACACCCCTGCTAACATTTGTTGTTGGTTGATTTCTTAATAGCAGCCATTCTATCTGGGATGAGGTGGAATCTCAGTGTTGTTTTCATCTGTATCTCTTGAATGACCAGTGATGTTGAACATTTTTTTTTGTATGTTTATTTGCTGCTTTTACTTCTTTCAGAAATGTCTGTTCATTTCAGATGCCCATTTTTGGATTGGGTCTTTATATTTGGGGGGGGGTCTCATCTTTTTGAGTCCTTTCTCTTTCAGTTGAAGATTTGTTTTATTTTTTCCAAGGAAGAACTGTCCTGAACTTTAGTTTATCAGTATTTAAGCCGCATAAGGGGAATGGCTCAATAGAAATTAACAGAGGCAAATCATTAAATTCAATTGTAGTTACATTTTAAAAGTAAAAAAATTGATTTTAATAATGTATTTTATTTAAATGATACATACAAAAATATCATTTTGACATATATAATCAATATTTTAAAACCCTAGGAGTTTGTTTGCATTTCTTTGTACTAAATTGTCAATATTTGGTGTGTACATTACAGTTACAGTACATCTTAATTCAGATTAGTTACACTCCAAGGTCTCAAGAGTCACATGTGACTAGGTGTCGTGCTGCATGCCTGTAATTCCAGCACTTGAGAGGCTGAGGTAGGAGCATTCTTTGAACTCGAGGCCAGCTTGGGGTACATAGTGAGTTCAAGGCCAGCCTGAATTACATAGGGAAAGGCTCTGTCTCACAAAACCCAAACCAACCTCCCACCAAAAAGAGTCACATGTGGCTATAGTAGAGATTAAAGGAAATCTGTACCCAGATAATCTCATTTTGCACATGAACCGTATTGTCTCTTTTACTTTGTGCCTGCCTGCCATGCAGATGTTTCCCATATATACACATTTTTCTTTCCATACAGCAGATACTACGTTCTGCTGAGACTAGATAATTTTTCTCTTCTATACTCTGTACCATAAGAGACTATCTCATGATTTACCTGCTTCAGTCTTAAATGCTTTAATGTGATCATAATGATGAGACATTTCCTGAGGACTTGTCATGCATGGAACACTGTGAAAACTACTTTATATACCTCAATATATATTCTCTCTCTCTTTTTTGTTTTGGTACTGGGGATCGAACTCAGGACCTTGCGCTTGCGAGGCAGGTGCGGTGCCACTGAGCTAAAACCCCAGCCCCTTATATTCTCTTTTTAATTCACGGTATCCATATGATTGACATTTTAGAAGTAGGAAAACAGGTTTAGTGAGCATCTTAGTCATTTTCTCATTGCTGAGACACAACACCCAACACCCACAACTTAGAGGGGAAGAGGTTTATGTTGGCTTTCATTTTAGAAGTTCCAGTCTTTGCATGATGGGCTGGCTCTAGGCAGAAGAGGCATGGAGGAAGGGTCTGGTGGAGGGAAGCTGCTCACATCAAGGCAGCCAGAAAGCAGAGTGAAGGGAGTGGCGGGAAGGGAGGTCACGCCCTCAGTGACCTGCCTCTTTTGACCAAACCTCACCTAACAGCACGTCAGCTATAACACCCCAATAATCCAATCACTTTCCAAACACAGGAGGCCTTGGAGGTCATTATAGATCTAAACCATAACAGTAAGTGCACGGGCTGAGCCTGAAGATGGTCCTTTGCCTCTCCCTGGTCCCTTTCTCTTCCATAGAGTAGACAGTGGCTAATTTTGTAGACCCTGGATGGCACAGCCCCAGGAGACAGTTACACTGTTTATCCTTCCCTGTTCCCCTCCTGCGCATGCCCCAGTAGTGAAACAATCATGCTACATTCCGCCTAGGCCAGGTAGGCCACACACTATTTGCCCCACCTTCTCTTCCTGTTTGCCTTCCACTACAAATAAAGAGCACATGGTGCTCCTGGCGGCCATTAGCTCCCAACAAGCTTTGGTTCCACCTGTTCCAAAACTTCAAGAATAGTTGTGGTTTCTTCTTCATCTTCCACTGCTTTCCCTGGCTTTGGACCCTACGCTGTGCGGGTTGTGGCAAGAAGGGTTATAGAACTTGCCTAATTCTAGGCCCAAAGTCATACAGTTGTAGAACCTAGAACTGAATGAAGGCAATTGATTCTAGATCTATTTTTAAATTGATCTTTAAAAATTGATATTTTAAATTGGAAAATAGACTTTATTGCTTATACATGTTTCCAAATATATGTTAAAGTCTAACAAATTATAAAGGTGTAACCACCACCTGCACCAAGAAATAGATTTGTTTAATCCCAACCTGCTTTTTCCCAATATCAACTCCCTCTTCACAGGGCTTTCAGATTTGGCCATGAATCACACTTTTATAGTAACCAATTCCTCACTTTTATTTATAGCTTTAACACCTAAGTATACATTCTCTTTTCATTTTTCTTCTTTCTCTTCTTCCTTTTTCTTCTCTTTTTTTTGGTACCGGGGATCGAACTTGGGTCCTTGTGCTTGCACAGCAGGTGGTGAAACCACTGAGCTAAATCCCCAGCCTTCCTTTTTTGACAGGTTCTGGTTATATAGCCTAGGCTGCCCTTGAACTTGTGATCTTCCTGCCACTGCCTCCCTGAGTGCTGGGATTACAGGCATGTACCACCATCCCAGCTTCAAATTTTTTCCTATGAATGCAGTTTTTATATATTCTAGTTACAAGGCCTCTCTTAGTTATACATATTATAAATTTCTTATCCCACTCTGAAGTTTGTCTTTTAACTCTTTTAATGGTGTAATTTGATGAAACTAAGTCTTAGTGTAGCACATTTATCCATTTTTCTGTTATATGTAGTGGTTTTTGGATTATTTTGAAAGGTCTGTTTCCTATCCTTGAGGTCATGGCTATATGCTTTTATGTTATCTTTAAAAACAAAACAACCAAAGCTTTATTATTTTGCTTTTCAAATTTGTATGTATGACCTACCTGGAACTAATTACTTGTATGTAATGTGAAGAGTTTAATTTCACTTTTTTTCAGCATCAATTACTCATTGAAAACTGTTTAGGCATTGCTTGCTTGGCACTGCCACCATGACAACATGAACCAAGTTCTCGTGTGTGTGGGTGACACTTTTTGGGCTCTCTATTCTGTTGTCACATTGGTATATTTGATCCAACACCATACTGCCTTAATTACTATGGTTTTGTAACAAAGCTTGATATTTGATAGCACAAATCTTTCTTGTCCTCTCTTTTTTTTAATTTCTCTTTCTCATGAATGATTGTTTTTGGTCTTACATAAAATTTTAAATTATCTCATCAAGTTTCTCTACCTTTCACACAGAAAAGTCTTTTGAGACTTTTTGTCTAGATTTGGAGAGACTTAACATCTTCAGTATTGAATTTTCCAATCTATGAACATGTTATAGTTATGAATTATTTAGGCCTTCTTTGGTGTCTTTCAATGTTTTCTTCATGAATATACATTTCTTTGATTTATTCCCAGGCATTTGATGTTTGAAGATACTATACATGGTATCTTTTAAAAATTAATTATATTTTTTCTGGCATATAGAAATATTTTTTGTTTGTTTGTGTTTGGTGGTACTACAGATTGAACCCAGGGCTCTTGCAGGATAGGTGCAGACTGCCACTGACTTAAAATCCCAGTCCTTTTTGAGACTAGTTTTCACTGTGTTGCCCAGGTTGGCTTTGAATTTCCAATCCCCCTGCCTCTGCCTCCCCAGTAGCTGGGATGACAGTCATGAGCTACCAGGCCTGGCTTCTTTTTTTTTGTACCAGAGATCGAACTCAAGACCTTGTGCTTGTGAGGCAGGCATGGTGCCACTGAGCTAAATCCCTGCCCCCTGGCTTGAATTTTTAAAAGTGTTTATTTACTTATTGATGCTAGGTATCCAGCCCAGGGCCACATGTATGCTAGACAAATGCTCTGTCACTGAGCTGAACCCTAAACCTAGATTTAAAAAAAAAATCTGTTAACTTTGTTAAACTCTGTCAATCGTAACAATTTATCTTCAAATTCTTTTGAATCGGCTGTATACATAAGTATATCATTCTTTTAATTTCTTTTAAAAAAATTATTTTGCGGTACCGGGGATCGAACTCCAGACCTTGCGCTTGCCAGGCAGGTGCTGCGTCCCTGAGCTACATCACCGGCAAGTATATCATTCTTTAAGAGAGTAACTATGTTTCTTCCTCTTTAATCTTTAGTCCTTTTACTTTTCTTGCCTTACTCCAGTGGCTAACAACCTCCACTGGCTTTAATGGACACATACACACTTAACTTCCACCTCAACTCAATTGTGTTGGAAGAGTTAGTTCGCAGATAGAGGGTTGAGAAACAATACCACCGTCCTCCTTTCAGCGCCTGCAGCGCGTTAGTGCTGAGATAGCTTCTCGCAGTTTCTCTTTTGATCTGGAGGGAGGAGCCAGTTGCCCTTCTCCGGTTGCCAGGCAACGGCGTCGCGCCGACCAGGAGTTGGAGTCTGGCAGCTGGGAGCACGTGCCGCCCCTTCCTCCTGCCGGAACTACATCCCCCACAATGCCGCGCGCCTTGGGCGCCGGCCCCAGGTGGGGGAAGGGCCGGGCCGGGAGGCGGAGCGGAAGCTGACTGTTTGGGGCCAGCAGAGTACAATCTCCACTCGCCGGGAGACATCCTCGTCCTGACTCCCAAGCCCCGGCCTTTCTCCATCCCGACCTGCAGGCTGCTTCTCGAGGGCGAGACGCCGCTGACGCCTGCTCCTCTGCATTGGTTGCGCCTCTCGGGCTCGGGAGTCCCGCGGCGGCAGCCACCGTGACTAGAACCCCTCAGGCAAGGGAGCGGGAGGGGGCGCGGGAGCGGGGGAGGGGCCATCTCCGCGTCTCGCCCGGGCCGCCCCGGCCCCGCCGCGCCCCCGGCCCGGGATCCGCTCTCCGGGGCCCCGGAACCCGGGCTGGGGTCGGGCGGGCGCGGCGGCCGCTAGCTCTTTTTGTCCCTGTCCCTCTGGTGCGACTGTCGCGGCTGGCGGCGGGCGGGCGGGCGAGTGTGGCTCGGGCTGTGGTAGCCGAGCGGGGCGACACGTGAGAGCTGCAGGGATGCGGAGCTCCGCGGCAGCCGCGCTCACTTCGTTTTCTGTTTTGACAGCTCAGTTTGGTTCTACTTTGGGAGAAAGAGGAAGTCAAATGCCCTTTAAAAAACTCCCTTTCAGAATTTATCTCCTAGTGACCGGTAAGGATGAACTTAAACTGCCTTGTCATTTGTTGGCGGTGGCGGTTGGAAGAGTGGCTCAGACAGCTGGGGTTCGAACCCTGATCATCCCGCTTTTGTGATCTTGATTAATTAAACGCTCTAAGCCTGAGTTTCCTCATCCATCAGATGGACGTAAGAACACAGAGCTTTAAATTGTCAGAATTCAGAAATACCCTTGGTTTCTTCATTTGTTGCAAAGATCCTTTGAACGTTATACTTTGCGTTAAGCAGGACTGAAGTGGCCTTTGGACTTGGGAGTTTTATACTTTGTTTTGTTTAATCAGCACCCTAAGTTGTGTGTTCTTTATTTTACACTTTGTTCACCTTAAACCTAAGCAAATAATTCTGTAAAATATGCCGCCGTCTTAATTTGCGCTGTTGTAAGATGGCTGAGGATGTGCTTAGGAAATTGATGGCTCTGCTTTTCTGGGGATCAGCTCTAGAGATACTGTACTAGGACTTATTCACCTCCCCACCCCCAGCTGCGTCCTGTGAGGATTCTTCTAGGAGCTTAACTGTGTTGTGAGCATCTAGGTGTTCTGCAGTCCTGTCAGGGGCTTCACCGTCTTTGCCTTTACCCTATGTCAACTTTTTCCTGTGTCTCGCTACACTTTTGCACTGTTTCATAATTTTTACTCCCTTTGGGAATTGTATTTCCAAGTTGTAGTTTTTGTTCTCATACACATGGAATGTATTCAGTAGATTTGATAAGGAATGACTTGAAAAAATGCATATTAGTCCCATTTCAGTTTCGATTATTCTCATGGTTTTCTCCTCAGTTCTGTTGACATTGGTGATGGGGTTTTATTTTTCCCCCTTGAGGAGAAATCTTTATGGCCCTCAATTGTAATTTATTTCTCACTTAAAATGGCTGTTCTGTACTATTTGGAGTTCAGATACTATTGCACAGTATATGAAATAACATATCCTTATGCTGTTTATAAATGTACAGTTGGGGGGGGAAGGCCAGTGGGCCTGCCAAATTGTCTGTGTAGTTTCTTTAGTGACAGATGACTTTGAAAGACATTTACATGGGGAAAAGAAGGAGAAATCTAATTAATGTATTTTACAAGGCTGAGAGCCTGAGAGTAAATAAGTGGAAAACGTATTTAAATTGTAGGAGAAGGCATATATATGCATATAAAGATTTCTGATTCACTTTAAAATGTGAGGCAAAAATACTCATTTGGAGGAAGATGTTTCTGTGTTGCTGTTATTCAGTCTAGCGTAGGACAGGGAGTGATGGCTACGGAAATAATAAGACCTTGGTCCTTGTCCTAGCTCTGTCACTGTGTATCTTTTGGTTACATTGTGGTCCTCCATATCCTTATCTCTAAAATGGTGAATTGGTCTGATTCCAAGGACTCTTCTAGATCAGACTTTCAAGGCCAAGGGTTTTTAAAGGTTCTTTTAAACAAGGGGGAAAAAATCGATGTAAACCGTTTTAGTCCTGTATTTGTGTCTAAGGGTTTTTTCCTGCTGCAGGTCATATGGTTCTCCCAGACCACTCTGAGGAAGGGGACACACATGAAAGAACTCGAAAGCTGCCGAAAATCAGAATCTTTACCAGCTGGTTAATCCCTCTCTTTCAGGAGCTGCATATGTTTTTTCTGCATTTTTGACATGCTTAGCTGTCTTTCTCTTTACTCTCTTTTCATAGTCTCTTATCTATTGTGCTTGCTTCTTTGTAACCTTAGTTTGTCAGTCCCCTAACCCAACTTCATTGTTTCTCTTTGTGAATTCTCTTTAGTGTCTTCTGCCAACCCTGGTATCCTCTGGGGCTCTTTTTGTAGGTGGCTGCTGGCAAGGGTGCCTGTTGTCAGACTAGTTAGCTGTGGAAGGGGAGGTGTGGCTACGTGGTGCGAATCATGATTGGCTGAAGCTGTGGGCAGGTTAGGCTCTGTGATTGAAGTATCTAATACTGCATGATATATTTCAGATTAGGCTCTTACTGTAGCTCGGTGATTAAGTAGTTTTCCTTGTGCTGTAACATTTTCTATTTTTATTCCTGCTTTACCCTTTTTCTTTTACCTACTTTTGTAATTTTCTGTGCTATTGTCTTCTCTCTCACTCAAAGATCCCATCTAAAAATGATCTGATTTTTTGAGATTGATATTTGTGTATCTTAGCAGGAATTCTAGTGTAGCTTCTATCAAGGCAGTGGATTTTGTTTTTAATTTTTTAGTGCTGTGGATTGAACCTAGTAAATATGCCTTCAGGCTCAAGGCAGTGTGTTTCAAATCTTAGATGTAATTATGAAGTCCTGTGTTAAATTTCTTTCCCCAGATATTAGCCTTAGGCAATATGTAGAGGCGATGTTTTAGGAATGGACCTTTTCCCCTGAAATTACATTTCAGGAACAAGTCTGTAGAGGGCTTCTGAGTCTTTTTTTCCCATTGAGGTTTTTTTTTTTTTTTTTTCCTGAGTCTTTTCCTGAGAACTCTCTGCCCCTCAGGCTCTGGTGAAAGTACTGTCTCCCCTTCCTTCTTACCTCTCTTTCCTTCCTTTTTGTCTTCCCTCCTTCCCTAGTATTAGGCCCCTAGGATACAAGTCAACCACTTTACCACTGAACTACATCCCCAGCACTGAACCATGTCTCCCTGCCCCCCCCCCCCTTTAAAAAAGTGCAAGGTCTTGCTAAGTGGCCAAATTGGCCAGGCTGGGCTTGAATTTTCAATCCTCTTGCCTTAGCCTCCCAGAAAGCTGGGATCACAGGTGCACACCACAGTGCCCAGCTCCTTGTGACTTTTTCTAAGAAACTATGCCTCTTTGTCAATAAGTAGTGGTGGTGATGATGATGATGATTATTCTTTTTTGGTACCAGGGATCGAACTCAGGACCTTGCACTTGCAAGGCAAGTGTGGTACCGCTGAGCTAATACACCCTGCCCTCCCCCGCAATAAGTATTATTATTATTATTATTATTTTTGGTACCTGGGATCGAACTCGGAACCTTGCATTTGCGAGGCAGGCGCCAGAACCACTGAGCTAGATCCCCGGCCAATAAGTAGTAATTATTAAGGAGCTAACCTTTGGCTGAGAGTTGTCTCTGCTTGCTCGTTGTTGCCATTGTTGTTAGATACTTTTTAGCTGTAAGTCATAATGATAAAGGGGAAATAATATAACTCTCAACCTGCTAGATGTCAGATATGAGGAATTCATGTTGCCCCAAATTGGGGAATGAATTCTAAGGAACAGTTGTGGTTAAGAGTAGGGAAACTTTATTGAGGGAGATAGCTCCAGAGAGATAGGAGGGGACCCGAAAGTGGGTAGCCTCAGACCCCACTTCACAGAGAAAGTTTTATAGAGCAAAATCATGAGGTGCGTACAAAATCACAAGGTAGGTACAGAGTGGGTCAACAACTGTGGGGTCACTAAACTGATGTCTATCTAGAGTTTATTGGACCAGGGGGTGCCAGGATGCTAGGTATTTTATCCCGTGGGGAGGTTTGTAGGCCTGGTCATTCCTTCTTTATCTCGAGGCCTGGCCTCCAACAGATGTGCCTCCAGCCACAGTTGAATATGTTTTCATCTTCTGCCCTGACTCCCTGGAGGGCCTAGCCCTGTCTGACTGCCTATAATATTAATACCTAACTTAGCTGTCTATAATAATAATAATAGCATAGAAAGCATAGCACTAAATAAATACAATAGTGGAATTTGAATGAGAGATATTTTTTTTTGGTACTGGGGATCGAATTTGGGACCTTGTGCTTGCAAAGCAGGCAGCAGAACCACTGAGCTAAATCCCCAGCCTGAATGAGAGATTTTTAAGGTAGGATTAGCCATCTGTTAATGTTTTTATTGTTGCTGTTACAATGTTTGCATAAAAAATACAAGGAAGTACTTCATAACAGGCAGTGTGAAATGCAGTGTTTTTGAAACTTTTTTTTACTGAAACCCATAGCAAGAGATCTTTTTATCTCAGGACTTTATAGATGTATAATTATGTATACATGTGTATATAAAAATAAGTAAACTGAGAAAAATTTCACAAAACAAAATCTGTAGTGTGTACAATCTATTCTGATGGTTTCTTTTCTTTTTTTTTTTTTTTGGTACCGGGGATCGAACTTGGGTCCTTGTGCTTGTGAGGCAGGCAGCAGAACCACTTAGCTAAATCCCTGGCCCCTCTGATGGTTTCTACTTATCTTGATTTTTAAGAAGTGCTAGTTGTAAAATAATTTTTGTTCCTTGCTTTTGAAAAACACTGGTCCTGGGTTGAGAGTAGGGATGGCTAATTTTTCCCCATTTTTTTTTTGTCATTCGTCAATCCTTTTTGTGCTTCACTTTCCTTGTTTTTAGAAGGAAGGTATTCTGGTTTAAATATTTGATGATTCTTTGCTGTTTCTCTAATGCATTTATCTTTAGGTTTCTGGGTAGGGAGAAACCACTGAAAAATTGTTAAATATATGGTTGTTTACATGTGTGCTATTTGGCAAAGTAGTGTGATAGAGATTTGAATAATACTTTTCTCCAAAGATCTCATAAGTTGGAGTGGAGACAGTAAGACTGGTATTGCAATAATTTAGAAAGATATTTACCTGTGTCTGTTCTGCCCCTGTGTTTCTTAACGAGGAATA